GGGAAAATGTCTCCAGGGCATGTCAGAGGTCTTCATGGAAGCCCCTCCCATCACAGGCCTTGAGGCCAAGGATGAAGGAATGGTTTCATGGGCCAGGTCCAGGGCCTTGCTGCTTTGTGTAGTCTCAAAACTTGGTGCCCTGTGTCCCAGCCATGGCTAAAGGGGGCCAAGGTACAGTTTAGGCTGATTTTTCAGAGGTTGCAAACCCTAAACCTTAGCAATTTCCACATGGTGTTGGGCCTGCAGATGCACAGAAGTCAAGAATTGAGATTTGAGAACCTCCATCTAGATTTCATAGGATGTATGTAAATGCCTGGATATGCAGGCTGAAGTTTGCTGCAGGGGTGGAGCCCTCATGGAGAACCTCTATTAGGGCAATGAAGAAGGGAAATGTGGGGTCAGAGACCCCACACAGAGTCCCCATGGGGGCATTGCCTAGTGGAGCTATAAGAAGAGAACCACCATTCTCCAGACCCCAGAATGGTAGATGCACTGACAGCTTGCACTGTGCCAACTGGAAAACCACAGACAGCCAATGGCAGCCTGTGAAAGCAGCCAGGAGAGGAGCTGTACCCTGAAAACCCATAGGTGCAGAGCTACCTGAGGTTATGGGAACCTACTTCTTACATCAGTGTGACCTGGATGTGAGACATGGAGTAAAAGGAGATCATATTGGAGCTTTAAGATTTGACTGCTCCACTGGATTTCAGAGTTGTGTAGGATCTGTAGATCCTTTGTTTTACCCAATTTTTCCTTTTTGGAACAGGAGCATTTACCCAATGCTTGTATCCCCATTGTTCTTTGAAATAACTAACTTGCTTTCGATTTTACAGGCTCCTTGGTTAAAGGGACTTACCTTATTTCAGGTGAAACTTTGGATTTGGACTTTTGGGTTAATGCTTAAATGAGTTAAGAGTTTGGAGAACTGTTGGGATAGCATAATTATGTTTTGAAATGTGAGAAAGATGCAATTGGAGAGAGGAACCAAAAGCAAGTGATATGATCTGGCTCTGTGTCCCTACCCAAATCTCATCTTGAATTGTAATTTGAATTTTAATCCCCATGTGTTGGGGGAGGGACCTCGTGGAAGTAATTAGATCATGGGGGGATTCCCCATGCTGTTCTCATGATGGTGAGTCAGTTCTCACAGAATCTGACAGTTTTATACAGGGTTTCCCTTTTGGCTTGGCACCCATTCCCTCTCCTACTGCCCTGTGAATAGGTGCCTTCTGCCATGATTATAAGTTTCTTGAGGTCTCCTCAGTCATGCAGAACTGTGAGTCAATTAAACCTCTTTCCTTTATAAATTACCCAGTCTCAGGCAGTTCTTTATAGCAGCATGAGAACAGACTAATATACTTTTTAATGTACAGTTTTACAAGTTTTGATAAACATAGATTTGTCAGCCGGGCATGGTGGCTCACACCTGTAATCCAAGCACTTTGGAGGCCAAGACGGGCAGATCACCTGAGGTCGGGTGTTCAAGATAAACATAGATTCAGGTAACTACCATAATCAAGATACATATTTCTCATGTTTTTCTGTAATCAATCCTCCCCTAACTCCAGCATCTAGCAAATATTGATCTATTTTCTGAACCTGTTTGTTGTACCTTTTCCACAGTGGCATGTAAGTGTAATCATACAGAGTATGTACCTTTTTGAGTTTGATTTTTTTCATTCAGTGTAATGCATTTGACATCTATCTATGTTTCTGCATCTATTAGTAGTTTGTCCACTTTCATTGCTGAGTAGGATTTACCTGTATGGATGTTAATACAGATTGCTGATCTGTACAGCAGGTGATGGATATTTGGGTGGTTTCCAGTTCTGAGTGATTATGAATAAAGCTAATATAAACATTCATGCATAAACTTTTATGTGGATATAAATTTTCATTTCTTTAAGTTAAATACTTAGGAATGGAATCACTGAGTTATATGGTAAGTGTATGTGCAATTTATAAGAAACGTCTAAATCATTTTTCAAAGTGGCTGTACCTTTTTTTATTTCCAACAAAAATGTGTGAGGTTGCTCTACATCCTCATCAGCTCTTGATATTTTCAGTGTTTGAAATTTTAGTGATTCTAATGTTGTACAGTAGTATGTCATTGTGATTTTAATCTGTATTTTCTTAATGTTTAAGCTTTTCACGTGCTTATTTGGCATCTTTTGCAAAATATAAAATTTTGCTTAAATCTTTATCTCACTTAAAAAAAAATGGGTTGATGGTTTTCTTTTTATAGAGTTGTTAGAGTTCTTCATGTGTTCTCCATGCCGGTGCTTTATCAGATACGTGGTTTGTAAATATTTTCTCCAGTCTATAGCTTGCCTTTTTATTTTATTAACATCTTTGGAGGAGAATCCTTTAATTCTGATTAAGTCCAGTTTTTATTATTTTTTTTCTTTTATGATTTATGCTTTTTGGGTCCTATTAGAAATCCTCATCTAACACAAAGTTGCAGAGTTTCTCCTTTTTTATTTTGTTTTTGAGATGAAGTTTTGACCTGTTGTCCAGGCTGGGGTGCAGTGGCATGATCTCGGCTCACTGCAACCTCCGCCTCCCGGGTTCAAGTGATTCTCCTGCCTTAGCCTCATGAGTAGTTGGGACTATAGGTATGTGCCACCACGCCCGGCTAAGTTTTGTATTTTAGTAGAGATGGGTTTTCACTGTGTTGGCCAGGATGTTCTTGATCTCCTCACCTTGGTATCAACCTGCCTCAGCCTCCCAAAGTGCTGGGATTACAGGCATGAGCCACCACACCTGGCCTCTCCTATGTTTTCTAATAAATGTTTTATAATTTTACATGTACGTAATAGTCAGTGTTCTCTAGACAGACAACTAATAGGAGATATATAGATATAGATATAGATATATGTATAGGAGTTTGTTAAGGAGTATTAACTCACACAGTCACAAGTTCCCACAACAGGTAATCTGCAAGCTGAGGAGCAAGGAAGCCAGTCCAAGTCCCAAAGCTGAAGAACTTGGAGTCCAATGTTCTAGAGCAGGAAGTATTCAGCATGGCAGAAAGATGTAGGCTGAGAGGCTAAGCCAGTCAAGCCTTTTCATGTTCTGCCTTTTTTTTTATTCTGGCCAGTCTGGCAGCTGATTAGATTTTGCCCATCCAGATTAAGTGTGGGTCTGCCTTTCCCAGTCCACTAACTCAAATTTAATCTACTTTGGCAATACTCTCACAGACACAATCAGGAACATTACTTTGTATCCTTCAAATTGATCAAGTTGACATTCAGTATTAACCATCACAAGTCCATCACTTCTCAACTTGAACCCATAAACATCTCTTGAGATCATACATAATCTTCAAATAAAGACAATAATAAGGTCATAATTATGCCTAACATAATACAACTATCCTTTGTACAAACAAAAAGGCACCAATCCCCAACCCAAACACTATTACATAAAGTTAACAATACTTAAATGCTGGTGTGGACAAAGTAAAGGAGAAAGGAAATAAAATGAAGATATTTTCTTAGTACAAGTATATACATGCACAAACATGTTTTCAATATAAGAAGGAGGAAATACTCATGACAATTACAGTCCTCATTTCTGCAGCTGGTCACATGGTCATAGCTGGTATTGATGACTATTCTCTTCTACTACCCATTCTGTATTCCCTTTGCCTTCAGCAAGCACCTCAGCAGGTCGTGGGGTTTTTCCTGGTGGAATGACCCAAACTTTCATTCCTGAAGGGTCTGGGCCATTTGTAGTCCTGCCTGAATTGGGGTGTTTTAGTTTCCCATTGACCTTAATCACAGGGCATGGTAATATTAACAGACACCCTAATGGAGCTCCTGTATTCCATGCATATTCTTCCTCACCTCCGTTGTGAAGTCATAGACTGATTTTATCTTGATAGTCTGGGTCAATCACCGCAGTCAACACTGTAACTCCCTTCTGAGCCTTAAAGGTAGGAGGAGCCCAAAGTGTCCAGGTGGCAATCTTAACTTCCAGTTTAATGGAATTGTTGTGTCTCCTGATGGCAGCATTCCTCCCTCTGGAACTAAGATCTCTAGACCAGCAGAACATAATGTTGTGGGAACAGGAAGCAAAATTTTGCTAGTGGGTCACTAGGCATGATGGTGAGTGGTGCCACTTCCACTGTGTAACATATAAGTCTATGATCCATTTTAAGTAAATTTTTTATATGGTATAATGGTTGAAGGCACTTGATAGGATTCTTTTTTTTTTTTTTTTTTGCATATGAATGTTCAGTTGTCTTCAACACTTCATTGAAGAGGCTTTTCTTTATCCATTGAATTACTTTGACACCTTTGTGGAAAATCAACTGATCATATATGTATTGGTCTATTTCTAGACTGTAGTCTGTTCCATTGGTCTATGTGTCTTCTTTCACCAATATATCACAATGTAGTAATTACTATAGTTTTATAGTAAGTCATCAGATCAGGTGTTGTAAGGCCTCCAACTTTGTTCTTTTTCAAAACTGTTTTGGCTATTCTAGGTCCTTTGCTTTTCATGTTAATTTTAGAATTAACTCATTTATCTCTTTTTTTATAAAAAGTTTGCTGGTATTTAGAATTTTAAAATTTTTATGAGTACGCAGTAGTGGTATATATTTATGGGGTATATGAGATATTTGGAAACAGGCATACAATGTGTAATAATCACATCAGAGTAAATTGTGTATCCATCAATTTAGAATTTGATACTTTGTGTTTAAAATATTCCAATTATACTCTTTTATTTATTTTTAAATGTACAATTATTATTGACTCTAGTCACCCTGTTGTGCTATCAAATACTACATCTTATTCATTCCCTCTATTTTTAGTGCTGATTAACTATCCCCACTTCCCCCCTACCCACTCCTCACTACCCTTCCCAGTCCTGGTAACCATCCTTCTGTTCTTTATCTCCATGATTTTGATCGTTTTAATTTTTAGCTCCCACAAGTGAGAATATGTGATATTTGTCTTTCTATGACCAGCTTATTTCACTTAACATAATGACCTCCAGTTCCATTCATGTTGTTGCAAATGACTGGATTTCAGTCTTTTTTATGGATGAATAGTCCTCCATTTTGTATAAGTACCAGATTTTATTTATCCATTCATCTTTTGATGGATGCTTAGGTTGCTTCCAAATCTTAGCTATTATAAACAGTGCTGCAAAAAACACAGGAGTGCAGATATATTAATGTCTTGGATATACTGCTAAACTTTCTTTTGTGTATGTACTCAGCAGTGGGATGGCTGAGTCATATGGTAGCTCAATTTTTAGCATAATAAAAATATAAGAATGAATGATAATGATAATGTTAATTATGTGTTTCATTAGCATATGCTAAATACTCTAGAGTGAGGAAAAGTTAATTATTTATCCTACCTGATTCATTTCTGCTTCCATGGAAAGTGAACCTCCTATGCTTCAAGGATACTAGCTGAAGGGAAAGCATTTGGAGAGGAAGTAAGGATCATCATAAATATGTTAAATAGAACAAACTGTGATGAAAAAATATAAATGTACTAAAAACTAGAAATGAGGAGTAGGTAAAAGCACGTTCCACTCTAAAATATAGAGGAAGAGCAACTTTTCATAGCTTCTCTTACATCTCCATTTTTGTCTTTGATCAACACAAATATTTTGAGTGCCTTTCTATAAAACACGCACTGTGCTATAGGTGTCTAGAGTACCTCCATTGGGTATAGAGCAATGAACAAAACAGACAAGGCCCTCACCCTTATGAGTCTTGTGGGGAAAAGAAAACCTAATTGAGTAATCACACAAATGTCAAAAATACAACTGTTGTGAGTGTAAAGTATGAAAGCTACATGATCCTATAACCTTGTTGCAAAGGTCAAAAAAGGTTTCCGTGAGAAAGACAGAAAGATAAGAAACCGGGACTTTTCTCAGGGGGTACACTTTACAAATGCAAGAGGTTCCATTCTTATGGACTACAACATAAAGAGCAACCCCAGGAGTTGTGCAATGTGGTGGAACTGGAGTTGATGATGGAGGTAAAATCAGAAAGATGAGTAGGAGTGACTTAAGTTAATATCATGGGGTTTCTTTCTAAGAAAACCTTGTACGAAGTTCTTGTTGCAGAAGAAAGAAAGCATGGCAAGTTGGTTTCTACAAAGGCTAGTGAGAACTGAGTAGAAAGAGAGTGAGAGCAAGAATGGCAAGATAAACCTGTAGAAATAAGGAAGTGGAGCCAGAAAAGTCATGACCTCAGAGATTTCTGGGGGAATTTAATTTTTATCCTAAAAGTCATGGGAAGCCAGTGAAGACTTAAGCAAGAGTGCTGGGAGGGCATGATTTAAAACATTTTTCTACTGCATACACAGATAATTTAGAATTGGGAAGTGAATGTTGTTACACAAATTAGAGCCTTCTAGAGTGTTTTGGGCATTCATATTTAAGGAGTATAATGGTGATTGTGGCAGGAATAAAAATAAGAAAAAGGAATTTAATGCATTTAGGAGGTATATTTGATTTCAGTTGTATGTGGAAAAGAGGAGAGATTTGTGGATGACACCTAGATTTCTATCTTGTATAACTTGATGATTAGTGCTTCCATTCATTAAGTGAGAAGCATTGAAAGTGGACCAGGTAGGGGTCGGTTTGGGGACTGTTAACCATCAATTCAGTTTTAGAAATGTCAAATTTGAAAGATCTAAGAGATACCATGTAGGCAATTTGTTTCACAAATTTGAATAAAAAATGTTAATAGCTTTGGCTAGAATATTGCCAGTGGAACTGGAGAAAAGTGGAAATGCATTCAGAAGATTTAGAAGATGTAGTCAATACATCTTAGAAGCTGATTAAATATTGGAAATGAAGAAGATGGAAGTGTGTCAAGGATGACTCTAGTTTTAGACTTATGCAACTACATGGATAACCAAGATGAGTGATTGATGCTTGGATTAAAAGAGTATATATTTGACTATAGTATTCTTTGTGCTGTGCCTCCAAGGAAGCTAAGTGAAAGAAGGGATGTATGATGGGGGTGGGGGGAACTCTAAACTATGCATATGTGGTAGAAACATACATGTACTTTTGAATTTTTCAGCATAAATTAGGCCCAAGAAAGATTCTTAATTGCTCATTATTTGTTCCCCTGTCTCTTTGGTTGAATAAGTAATCATTTCTAAGGTAAGCAGTTAAAATGGAAAGTCATTACTTTGCTAGGAGGTGTTAATATGCATGCTTTAAGCACAGACACATATACTTCAGGGGCAATTTTCTGATCTGAATTTCTTTTAGTGGGTAATATTTTTCTTTGCATTTCTAGGGCTGTGGTTCTGCTTTATCACAAGCAAAAGGAAGATCAGTCCTGAAGTTTGGAAATTACTTTGACTAAGCACCTGTTACAGCTTTTGGTTCCTATGCTAATCTACCATAAAACTTGAGTTATCCTCATTAATTTTGCATCACTGGCAATTATACAGTGATTCTTTTTTCATAATAAAAATCCACTTGGTTTTGCCACGTAGACCATGGAGATAATTAAAGTGGATTAACCAAAGACCCACATGATTAACAGTTTTTGACATACCCGCAAATCTACTGTAAGCATCAAGTGATGACTACTGGCAGAGATTCTGTTTCCGGGACTGTTACCTTTTGAATATCAATGAAAGAAGGTTTAAAATCATTATTTGTGAAGAGATATCTTAATAAAATCTTTATATTAAGTGGAACCTTTTTAATGGAATGGAGTAATCCCTTTAACCCCTCATGTCTTCAACCAGTTATGAAATGACTGGTTTCCTCCCGCATCCATTTTTCAAATGTGAACAGAAATCCCTCCCAAGATCTCTCAACATTTTTCAATAAGTTATATGGGAAAGGTGTGTGCATGTGGGTGGCAGGAGAGTATGGTTGTTAAGAGGACTTACTTGAATAGAGGCAGATAGGGCAGCTGACTAAGATGATTTTATTTTTGTCTCAGTACACTTTCTTTACTTGGCAGTATTTCATGCCTGCAAAGAACAATTCCTAGGACTTATAAATCCATTTTCTTTCTTTTTTAAAAAATATGGAATGCTTCACAAATTGCCATTTTCTTAAGGAAGTAATAATTTTATAACACAAACCTAAGCAATGAAAACACCTTGGGAGACTTGCACACTGTAGGGATTGCTTACAGTGTGTCTGAGATCATTAAATTTTTTGTGATGTGTACCTGGAGTTCAGTTTTGTTGGCTTTCTGAAAATATGCCAGTATAAGGTAGCCAAGAAATCTGATTTTAGGGAATAGGTTGGATTTTTTTGAATAGAAACATGACATTTTGATATAAGAACAAACCATTCCATTATCATCTTTTTTAAAAAAGAACTTGAGGCAGGGCATGGTGGCTCATGCCTGTAATCCCAGCACTTTGGGAGGCTGAGGTGGGTGGATCACCTGAGATCGACCATTTGAGACCAGCCTGACCAACATGGAAAAACCCCATCACTACTAAAAAGACCAAATTAGCAGGATGTGGTGGTGCATGCCTGTAATCCCAGCTACTTGGGAGGCTGAGGCAGGAGAATCGGTTGAACCTGGGAGGTGGAGGTTGCAGTGAGCTGAGATTGCGCCATTGCACTCTAGCCTGGGCAACAAGAGTGAAACTCCGTTTCAAAAAAAAAGGAACTTGGTACAGTGTGCCAGAGACAGCCTCAATTTATCTCTGAACTCTGCCCCATCTCTGAAGCTTATCTCACTTTATTTCATGTAATTCCTAGGTGTTACTTTATTTTTCTTTTTATCCCTGATTCCTAAAGCAAAAATTGTCTTTGTCAAAATGTCCTGGGTTGTTTCTGCTTCTAGTTGTGGCTTATCTGTTCTGACAATCTTTCAGAAAAAAAAAAGAGTGCTCTCAGAACTTACTCCCATCTCTTCTCCACCATCTGGCTTATCCAGCCCAGTGGTGATTGCCTTTTGCCAAAGCCTGGAGCCAAGAAGGCAGTTAACAACACTTTTATTGATAAAGTAAAATGATAAACTCACACATACATTACAAATAATAAAGAGTACAAAAAATTACCTGTAATCACACCACCCAGGGAATCATTGTTAATATATGTTGAATATTCTTTGGTATTAAATACAAAGATGAATATAACTTTATATGCATGAGATTACACAAACATGCCATTTTATCATCTATTTTTGACCTAAAATATTTTGTCTTTCCATGTCAATGTATCGAGAGTTGTACAGTTATTATTATTATTTGTATTTAAGTAGAGCTAGGGTCTCGTTATGCTGCCCAAGCTGGTCTGGAACACCTGGCCTCAAGCAATCCTCCTGACTCTGCCTTCAAAAGTGCTGGGATTATAGGCATGAGCCACCATGCCCAGCCTGTGCAATCATTTTAATGCTTGTGTAGTGATACATTGTGTATATTGACATTGTTTATTTAATTAGGTTGGCAATTTGAACAAAAAAATTTGGAGTAGGTAAATCATGTCTTTACCATCTTATTCTTTCATATTTTTTCCTATCTCCCCTGATTGTTGGTTCCTTCTCTCATTCCTGCTCTGTCTAGAGCACTCTAGGCTAAGGAAAGCTCAATAGCTTACCCCACTGGGACTGTTTATATATCAGACCTCTTATAACCAGAAAAGGAGGCAAGACCCAAACAGGAATTTCTAGTGATGTCCTTCAGATGGGTGGGAGGGCAAATTGTTCAGCATTCACTTTTCTTTTCCTTTTTCCTTTCATTACTGACGTTCTAAAATGACTAATCCTTATGAAAGATCCTTTCCCATTTTTAAAAATCACTTTACATGTTTTCCAGTTCCCCAATATTAAACTGCATTCTCAAAGGCTACCAGTGATTTTCTGATTACTACATTCAAAGCCACGTTTTATTCCTTACCTCTATGCCATGTCAGAAGGATTAGCCGCTCCTTAGAACCCTTTCTTTGTAGATTTGTCACCTACATTTCTGATTATGCATCCTCTGTTGCCTTGGGTGGCTTTTCTTTCTGCTTTCTTACTATGGGGAATGCAGACACTCAGTCTTAGGCCTTTTGTCCTTTCATCTTTACTCTTTTTTTCCCCTTTAAACCATGCTTCCTTCAAACTTCCCTGTGTCTGTCAAAGGTGACGCTATTCTTTAAATCACGCAGACCTCAGAGTTTGAAGTTATCTTTGACTCTGCTTTTTCTTCCTAATCCAATCAGTCTTTACATCCTGTCAGCTATTTCTTCAAAATAACCTTCCATGTACTTTCATATACTGTAAATTGTACAACCTCTTTGGAAGGCACTTAGACACTGTCTATTAAAATCTAAAATGCATATACTTTGACCTACCATTTCCAATTTTGTGAAACTATCATATGGGAATACTCAAGTGTGTCAACATATGTAAACAAAGATACTCTTTGAAGCACTAGTTAAAATAGCCCCAAACAGGAAACTACCTATGAGGCAACAGGGAACTGGTTAATGGTACATCTATTCTATGAACACAGCTATTAGTAAGTGTAGGGTGGATTCATAAGTAGTGACAAGAAAAAATACCCGTGGCACATTGTGAAGATAAAAATATGAATTGTGGGCTAGCACGTATAGCATGTATAATATCCCATTTTGGTTACACACTTATACACAGATACATACATCCACATATGTACTATATGTGTAGAAAAAAGACAAATATGCACCAAATTATTGAAAATAACACATAGGAAAAGGGATTTGGAGGGAGGGTGGAGTTTGCTTTCACTTTCTAATTTATATACTTATAATTGTTTGGAAGTTTTAAAAATATACATGAATTGCTTTTATAATGATTAAAATATTTTATATTTTCTCATTTTTTCTGACTGAACACTATTTTAAATTTGCATCACCTGATATCTGCCTATCTATCTCTCTCTCTGTATATCTACAACAGTTTTCTAAGGGTTCCTACCAGCTCCAATTACTTTATTAGCTGTCTGACATTAGCCTTTGAGAGCCTGTTTGAAATAAGACTACCTACTCTATTTCTTTGAGTCTTAAGTTTAAAATCAAATAATGCTTATGGGTAAGCTTTGAAAAACTGTTAAGCACAATGCTGATATAAAGCATCACCTCTAACAGAGGCTGGTAGTACATTCTAAGCCTGAGGACTGGGTAAGGTCTATGAGATCACACAAGTAGCAACACTGAGTTAACAGAACTAAAGCTCTAAGAGTGAAATGGTCAAGTTATTCAACAGGGTTCTTCAGCTACAATGTATAAACCTCCCCAAACTAACTTGAACATTCACATCACCACTGATTTTAACTAGATTGGCTGAGAGAGCAGCCTCCTAAAGCTATTCATCTTTGCAGTGATAAACAATGCAAGCAGTTTGTTAGAGCTCAGCCATTAAACTCACACTTATTTGTAAGCCTAATTGGTACTATTAACATTACAAGGACAAGGGAGCCTAAATAACAACGTGGAAACAGAGCTAGAGATGTATTCTAAATATTTAGAGTATATCCATTTCCCTTTAAATGTACTACTTTAATAAAAGCATATGGTCTGCCTAAAGAAAAATTTCATTACTTGCATTGAGCTGTAGCAAGGAAATTGCATCTAGCATGTATGTGCTATAGGTACAAAATCTGTTTAGTGCTGCCTCTATCACTTACTGTGTCATTGAAGACATGAAAACATTTGTATTGGCATTAGTTTTTGTTTGATATAAAGACAAATGGAAGAATTAACTGGGAGGTTTGTTACAAAATTATAGTCTATAGTGTAACAAACCTCCCAGTTAATTCTATAATACTGTAACAAACCTCCAGTTAGACTACACTATTATAGTCTACTATAATAGTGTAACATTATACTATACAAAATATGTAACATTATACTATATAAAAATAATACTACTTCTATTTTTTTTGAGTCCTTGAGCAATATTTTATATCTTATTTATTATTATTTTTATTTTGAACAGAGTCTTGCTCTGTCACCCAGGCTGGAGTGCAAGGGCATGAGCTCAGCTCACTGCAACTTCTGCCTCTTGTTTTCAAGCAATTCTCCCACCTTGGCCTCCCAAGCAGCTGGGACTACAGGCATGCACCACCATACCCGGCTAATTTTTGTATTTTTGATAGAGACAGGGTTTCACCATGTTGGCTAGGCTGGTTTTGAACTCCTGACCTCAAGTAACCCACCCATCTCGACTTCCCAAAGTGCTGTGATTATAGGCACAGGTATGAGTCACTATGCCCAGCTACCTTGAGCAATAATGTCACAAACTCTTGTTCCATGTGGCTATTTTTGCACAGTGATTGGACTTTGTAGTGCAGTGTGGTTATTACTGCTGATGACTGAAACTGGACCTGAGGTCAAATAATGTTCTCAAAAGAATGACAACATCTGTCGGCCACCCCAGCTCGCACTCTCACTCACTGGGACAAGAATTAGACAAGACATTCAATAAATATTTTTCCTGCTATAAACTAGTAAGTCATAACCATTATGGATATAGAAGTGGACAGAACCCTCAAGAATCTTACAGTCCATTAAATGCTTTGGGTATTTCTGTCCAAGGAATATGCTTATTTTGGTTGCAGTTGGCAACTAAACTAAGAGGACAGAGGCCACTGTACTTTCCATACTAACGAGATACACCTCAGACAGTGACAATTAAAGAAGGTAAGCGGTTGTAAAATACAATGTATATTTATGGGTAGGCTGAATTCTATTTTAACGTTGTCAACACCAGTCCTTTGTATGCACTTCAAAATATGTACTATGTTGTTTACTGTTGGCGAAGTAGAAGATGTGTATTTTCTTGTGGAAGACTTCACATTACTTTGAATACAGATCTTTTACAAATATCTCAGCATATTTCACACTTCATAAGCCAAGCAGATATTTTATGTGGTAGGGTAATATTTTAAATCATTAATCAATGTGATCTAATGCTCACACATGCATACCCAATTATGCTCCTTAGCTCAACATTCATTGTGGCCTGTAACTCACAAATTTTAATAGAAACTTTTGTTTTTGGGCATTTGCAAATTCGATTTAACAAGGATTTTTTGTTTCCTACTGTGTGCTTCATGAATCGTTTTAGGCACTGGCTGGGATTACAACGATAAATGAAGCGCAGTCTTCTTTCTTATGGATTCAGCAGATAGATTCACCAGATAGGTTGGTAGCCTCAGTGTCTGGAGTGGCTAAAATTTGGGATGTGCCCTCAGATTATCTTTATGCCAACAAGAAGAAAATACTTGTATTTTGGGAAGGTGATAGGTCAAAAGCAGTTGGAAGGTGGGGGAAGGCTAGTGTGGAGGTTGATATAACAAAGGCCAAATGATGACTAGGGGCTTATTTAGCAATACTTAAAAGTTGGAGTCTGGTCAATTCAAAATTGAATTTCCAACTGTCTTGATTTTTCTGTCACTTTCTGTTTCACAATTTAAAAAGGCAAAGCTTGTTTTTGCCTTGCTTAAGAAAGTGAAGTACATTAAATGACCCAAGGATATGTATTATGAAAAACAATAACTGGATTAATTAAATAGCTGTTTGAAAGCATCTTGTTTACATTTGTCACCTTATCATTTCACAGAAAGACATCAATAACCTTTTAAAATAACACCTAGGAAATGACAGGGCTACTGAATTTGGATCCGACAAATTACATATTTTAAGGTAGTAGATGATGAGTTCCACAGCAATAAAAATGTGAAGGTGCCTGTAGGCAATGATGAGTTTCTGGGTGATTAAACCATAAAGCCATATTTTAAAATGTCACCTATCTTTGCATGTGGTTGAGAGGTTTGCAAAGCTTGTTCAGGGTCCCAGATGGAGGCCACCAGCTTATGGTATGTGCCGGGGCCACACAAAGACAGCTGTCAGCTTCTATCCTGTTGAACCAAGGGCATAAAAAATATCTTAATCAGTGGCTTGTTTCACCAGAGGATCATGAGAGCCCAAAGGAGTTTTGATAACATATTGAGAAAGCCTCCAGTTGATTCAATCTAAAACTGTAAGAAATTCATATTTTTTGGATTATTCAAGTGGATGTTTTAGTATTTGTGGAATACTGGCAGGAACAAAACCTACAAAAAAATAACAAAATTGATAGATGCCCCATTGACCCTCAGTTGATGTACAGCATGTATGGAAGAAGCTCTGGGATTTGAGGCTTACATTATACATTTAGTAGGTAAATATTTTCCAGAATTTCTCAAAAGATGCTTAAAGTTGCAAATTTACAAATTTATACAAATAGTACACAGCTATAGAAATGATTCTTTTTTTTATTGTACTTTAGGTTCTGGGGTACATGTGCAGATTGTGCAGGATTGTTGCATTGGTACATACATGGCAAGGTGGTTTTCTGCCTCCATTACCCCCATCACCTATATCTGGCATTTCTGCCCATGTTATCCCTCTCTACCCTCCCCACCCCCCACTGTCTCTCCCCTAGCCTCTCCAACAGAACCCAGTGTGTGATACTCCCCTCCCTGTGTCCATGTATCCTCATTGTTCAATACCCGCCTATGAGTGAGAACATGCAGTGTTTGATTTTCTGTTCTTGTGTCAGTTTGCTGAGAAGGATGGTGTCCAGATTCATCCATATTCCTACAAAGGACACAAACTCATCGTTTTTTATGGCTGTGTAGTATTCCATGGTGTATATGTGCCACATTTTCTTTGTCCAGTCTATCTTTGATGGGCATTTGGGTTGGTTCCAGGTCTTGCTATTGTAAACAGTGCCACAATGAACATATGTGTGCATGTGTCTTTGCAATAGAACGATTTATAATCCTTTGGGTATATACCCAGTAATGGGATTGCTGGGTCAAACGGAATTTCTATTTCTAGATCCCTGAGGAATTGCCACACCGTTTACCACAATGGCTGAACAAATTTACACTCCCAGCAACAGTATAAAAGTGTTCCTATTTTCTCCACATCCTCTCAAGCATATGTTGTCTCCAGATTTTTTAATGATCACCATTCTAACTGGTGTGAGATGGTATCTCAATGTGGTTTTGATTTGCATTTCTCTAATGACCAGTGATGATGAGTGTTTTTTCATATGTTTGTTGGCCTCATATATGTCTTCTTTTGATTACTTTCTGTTCATATCCTTCACCCACTTTTGAATGGGGTTGTTTGTTTTTTCTTGCAAATCTGTTTTACTTCTTTGTAGATTCTGGATATTAGCCCTTTGTCATATGGGTAGACTGCAATTTTTTTTTCCCATTCTGTTGGTTATGAGTTCACTCTAATGATTGTTTCTTTTGCTGTACAGAAGCTCTGAAGTTTAATTAGATCCCATTTGTCTATTTTGGCTTTTGTTGCCATTGCTTTTGGTGTTTTAGTAATGAAGTCCTTGCCTATGCCTATGCCCTGAATGGTTTGGCCTAGCTTTTCTTCTCGGGTTTTTATGGTATAATCTGGCACTATACAAGGATGCCCTCTCTCACCACTCCTATTCAATATAGCATTGGAAGTTCTAGCTAGAGCAATCAGGCAAGAAAAAGAAATAAAGGGTATTCAATTAGGAAATGAGGAAGTCAAACTGTCTCTATTTCCAGATGACATGATTGTATATGTAGAAGTCCCCACTGTCTCAGCCCAAAATCTCCCTAAGCTGATAAGTAACTTCAGCAAAGTCTCAGGATACAAAAATCTATGTGCAGAAATCACAAGCATTCCTATTCACCAATAAAAGACAGAGAACCAAATCATGAGTGAACTCCCATTCAAAATTGCTACAAAGAGAATAAAATACCTAGGAATACAACTAACAAACAATGTAAAGGACCTCTTCAAGAAGAACTACAAACCACTGCTCAACAAAATAAGAGAGGACACAAACAGATGGAAAAACATTCCATGCTCATGTTTAGGAAGAATCAATGTGAAAATGGCCATACTTCCCAAAGTAATTTATAGATTCAACTCTATCCCCATCAAGCCACCAATGACCTTCTTCACAGAACTGGAAAAAACCACTTTAAACTTCATATGGAACCAAGCAAGAGCCTGCATAGCCAAGACAATCTTAAGCAAAAAGAACAAAGCTGGAGGCATCATGCTGCCTGATTTCAAACTATACTACAAGGCTACAGTAATCAAAACAGCATGGTACCAGTAGCAAAACAAGGACATAGACCAATGGAACAGAACAGAGGCCTCAGAAGCAACACCACACATCTACAATCATCTGGTCTTTGACAAACTTGACAAAAACAACCAATGGGGAAAGGATTCCCTGTTTAATAAATGGTGTTGGGAAAACTGGCTAGCCACGTGGAGAACGCAGAAACTGGACTCCTTCCTGACACCTTACATTAAAATTAACTCCAGATGGATTAAAGATAGAAACATAAATGATTCTTGTAAAGAATTTTGAATAGTACAAGGATCT